AGCACCCACAGTGTAAGGAGCTGAGTGTAATAGTGCTGCAAAACAGGGCTTTGGAGCGGAGCCCGGAGCTGGAGCGTGGACCAGTAGGTTTGCCCGGAGTCGGAGCGGAGCAATTCAAAAATTTGATTGCTCCAAATCCCTGCTGCCAAATCCTGGCTTCCTTTGCTTAAGAGCAGCAAGGCTCTTTGTTTGCGTTTATAGAAATGTGCCTTTGAACTGCACAGTACATACCACACATTGCCTTTCCGAAAAGGCAAATGCCACGTTTGTGTCTTACCTGTCTATAATCTTATTCGGTATTACCAGTCCAGATGAACCTAGGAGTGTGAAAGATATGAGGAGCAAAGATATAGAGCTTAAATTTCAACACTAAGATAAATGGAGCCAAACTCATTCATCCTTGATATAATGGCTCCATTAAGTCACAAGTGCATGTGGCCGGTTGACTTAAATAGAACTTCATTCATTAACTTTATTTTCTCCCTCAGCCTTTTCTACACTAGGATGAATATTTGTTGCAGTTTGCAGGTTTCAGCAATGGGTGCAGGTGCTGAATTTGGTTTGTCTGTACTCAGCAGTAATTGAGCTCCATCCATTGCAGACCCCCTTTGTTGGCCACTGACTCCATTATTCTTGTGTGGACACGGCTTTTGTGTTTAAGGCATTGGATTTATTTAATTAGCATTCAAACACTTTTGTTACCACAATAGTATTATGCTACTGACATGGTACAAAAGGCCAAGTAAACTTAGGTTAATGATTAGTTTGCTGTGCTTTCATATATAAATGAGAATGAAATACAAAAAGGCTACCTGCTGTAAAGCTGATAGGCAATTTGAGTCTCTCAGATTACTTAAAACCAAGCATTGATCTACAGGTCAGATCTCTGTGACTTTGGGTATTTTAAATTGTATAGGTGCATTGACTGTAACATTTGAACCTTACTAAATGGTATCCTCTAGCCTCTTCCTTTCAATTGTGGGCTCCTTTTATACACTTCTTTCAGACTGAGAGCAGTAGATGAAAGCTTGATGACAGGATGCAGTTAATTTAAACACTTTGGACTGGTAACAGCTGGATTTTCTCCATCTATTCACCCACCGGTCTGTCCAGCTGCCAGGCACGTCGCTTCACTGAAACGACCTGGTCCCTTAACAATAATTTAACCTTTTGGGCATGTTGGTTAATTTCCCCCCCCCAGGTTCCTGACTGTACCAGGTGAGCTAAAGGGGCGTTCTGTTGTGTCATTTTTGAGTAATGTAAACTTAATCTTTGACGTTCAATGATGAATTTAGCAAAGTAAATGCTAAACAAAGAATAAATGCCAGAGCTCTAGAGCTGTAATTCTAGTGGCTTTCCTGCTGGTTTCACTGATTCTCCTTTACCCCAACAGGAGAGTCTCGCTGTGTATTCTCTCCAGTTGTTGACCCTGTTAATTAACATTAGCTCTTAATGACAGGACAGAATACTCTATAGCTTCTAACAAATCCAAGTTCTACTCATTGAATGTTGCAGCTTGGGAGTGATTCCTGCCTGTGTTTCAGACTTGGCTGTGTGTGAACTTGTTCAGAATGTGGTGTGATCAGCGTGTCTCACTTAACTCTGATGTTGTCTCTTTTCCCTTCCTTTTTGCCTGCCTGCTGCTTTCATTCTGTAGTATTGGTATTTGCCATTCATTTCACCTTCTGCATCTATGCATCTCATGGTAGGTGATAGGCTACTTAATTTGAGACTAGACTTTCCATGATATTTCTGACAGCTGCAAAAAAATGAAATCAAAAGTCTTAAATATTAAAAATAACACGTCTCCTTGAGTAATTACATTTATTTCAGATAATGTGAAAAACTAACTTTGGTGTAGATTCTTTGCTTTTGTTTTTCAGACACTTAGGAGAGAATGAATTGGTAATCGCTGTTCTGATTAATGGCTACTGAGAAAACACTAACCATGTTTTAATCACTTCAGGCTCAGGAAATATAGTGGGAGCAGCAGTGAGAGAGCATCTGTTCTTTTATTCATCTTCTGTATGAATCTGGCACTTGTGGAAGAAAAATGATCTTGATTAGAATTGGGCATAGTGCAGATGCATTGCATAGGGTCTACCAGTGTACTTCAGTCCTGACCTGAAACAGTCCCAGCTGTTCCAGTCCTGGTCTTCGTGAGCAGATATAGCCTTTTGTGCTAAATTATGTGCTGTGGACAAATCATCTTTGGGGGCTGGGATGTAACTATCAGACTGACCAAAAAAAAAAAAAAATCAGTTTATGAATGCAGGGTGTGTTATGTTCTAATGAAGAGAACTGTATGTGGAATCTGAGAAATACAGTGCAAACGACACAGGTAAAATATGGATTAGTGGTTGAGGGCTTTTATGGGATATGTACACTATCAGCTCTTTAAGTCACTAGTCCAAATCTAGCTCACATTGCTAGTAGTTGTAAATTGTTGCAATGATAGAGATTATTTGGTGGTCTGTATGAAACGACTTGGAGGTTTCACTCCAGTTCTTAATGATGTGTGCTGATTATGATCTAGAGACACTAACTGGCAGTCCACCAGAGAGGCTAAGGATTGAATGACAATGGAGACTGAACAGCCTTATAGATGGCTCCTTCAGTTCAGGGCTGGACACATTAGTGGGGAGTGCAGTGTGTACTGGGTGCGTGTAGGGGAATGTGCTTTGCCTCTGCCCATGTGGTTCATATGCTGGAGATGAAAGATTTCTGTCTCTGGGGCAGTCAATTTGTCACCTTTGAGCAGCACCCCAAAGAATTTAAAATATACTAAAGTTTACTGTGAGGTTAAAGTTTCCTTAAAATATGAAATCTGGGACCTCTGCAGAGTTGGTTTAGTAATTGATTCCCTTGAATTGGAAGCTTTCTGGCCCCCTCTCCAGGCCAACTAAAGTAAAGGTGGGAACAAAACCCAAAAATGCCCAGGGATTTTTCTGCCCAGCTGATGATAAATTCCTTTTGAATCTGTTTAGAGCTCGGAGCTCTTCACTCTAACCTATGGAGCTTTGGTCACTCAGCTGTGTAAGGACTATGAGAACGACGAAGATGTCAATAAACAGCTTGACAAAATGTAAGTTAACGTTGGAGTTTGAGTCCTTTGGGGGAGGAGTTTGTAGTAGGCAGAACTGTTTAAACTGCTGTTCCTTATTTTCTGCACCCAACCCAACTGGCAGGCTGAACATTGTTCACTTGTGGGTTTTTCAGAATTTAAACAAAATATTTCCCCCTCCTTTGGGATCTCCTCATATACTTAGTTTCAGAGCACAGCTTTATTGCATAGATTTAGAACATCTTCCCGGAGCTGAGCTGTGCTGTTATGATTCTATAGTTTGCTGCTGTTTGGTGCATTGACAGGGGCTACAACATTGGAGTTCGATTAATAGAAGATTTTCTGGCCCGGTCCAATGTGGGAAGATGCCATGACTTCCGGGAAACTGCAGATGTAATTGCAAAGGTAATCCTCCAAGTACAACCTTGCATGCCTTTATCAGTGCTGGTCCCATGCATGTCCCAGCACCATATCCAGGCTGTTCAGGGACTGTTAAGAAGAACCATGCAGTGGGTCACCAGGGGCACAGCTTCTGATTAAGAGTGAGATAATGAATGGTGCACAAATTGTATTCTCGTAGACTCATAGACTTCAAGGTCAGAAGGGACCATTATGTTCTTCTAGTCTGACCTCCTGCACAACGCAGGCCACAGAATCTCACCCACCCACTCTTGTAACAAACCTCTGACCTATGTCTGAGCTATTGAAGTCCTCAGCTTGTGGTTTAAAGACTTCAAGGTGCAGAGACTCCTCCAGCAAGTGAAGTCTTTAAACCACAAGTTGAGGACTTCTAAAATGTATCTTGTGGCTTCTTGCTTCCTGAGCTTAACTAGAGACTTTGAAGTCATTTTGTATCCAAACTAGAGTTTCCTGAATATGGGAAGAAAATAACCCAAGGAAATGGAAACTGCTCCAAACGAGGCAAAATCTGATTCAGATAGTGTTCTTGGATTTTTCCCATTGGGGAGGGAATATTGCTCCCCTCAATTTCCCCACCTGTGAGAAGAGGATAAAATTACTTACAGGGCTGGTTTGTAGCTTTGGGTTGGATTGTCCAAAGCACCTAAGGAAGTTAGGTCCCTGACTCCTCTTAACTTTCAATGGGAGCCAAGGGTCTGATTTCCTTAGTAAATATTTTGAAGCTCATTAAGATTCTTTGATGAACAGCGTTGACGGGAAATATTACTGTTTGGGTCACTTGCTTGTCTCTGCTCTATATAACTCAATAGGTGGCATTTAAAATGTATCTGGGCATCACCCCGAGCATCACCAACTGGAGCCCAGCAGGCGATGAGTTCTCCCTCATCTTGGAAAATAACCCTCTGGTGGACTTTGTGGAGCTGCCTGATAACCACTCATCTCTTATTTACTCCAACCTCTTGTGTGGGGTGCTGCGAGGAGCGCTGGAAATGGTGAGGCTTCACTTCTCTCCCAGGAAGGGTGGGGGAGTTGTGGAGGTCTTGGCTGGAAATGAAAACCTGGAACCTTCTGCAGACATTTCAACCCACCCCCTTGTGCAAGTTTGTGGTCTTCATGATTTCTCTTGCTGTGAATCTATGTCAAGAGCAAAGTAGAACTGGAGGAGCCAGTTGGTTTGTATTGTCCTAAGGGAAGGTTCTGTGCTGTGTAAAGTTTATAACTCTGCCTCGATGAATAGAGGGAGTGTGTAGATGCCCTGGGGATACGGGTTAGATGGACTCTGTCTTCTAGAAGCAATGCAGAGTTCTGAAGGGAATCCCAACCGCTGCTTTTGTTGGGAGGTTTGTCTGTCTAGGGAATGATACGGCCCTGTCCCCATAGTATCTGAATGGCATAGGGGGACAAGCCAGTGATCTTTGATACAGTAATCAGTGCCTTTCTTGGACCCCATATGACATGTCCTGTCCTATGTCCTGCGCTATTTTAAGGGGTGGACGGATAACAGGGAAGCTGTTAGTTTAACTTCATAGCAACTTTCCTTTTGGTTTTTCTTCTCCTCCGTCCCCCAGGTTCAGATGGCCGTGGACGTGAAATTTGTCCAGGATACGTTGAAAGGAGATGGCGTCACAGAAATACGGATGAAGTTTGTTAGGCGGATTGAAGACAATCTCCCGGCTGGAGAGGAGTGAGCCACAGCGCAATCTCCCCAAGGGACTGGAGGGACCAGCTGCTGTGGCCTGTAGCTCGTCATGGACTCGTAGGGATTTAGTGCCCCCTTTAAATTCCAACTCCTAAAGACTCACTGACTGTTTACGTTGTTACATTTCCATTTTCCATATAAGACAGCCCTCTGGGTTACTCTGCTTATCCCATAGGTTCACTCTAAAGATTTTCATAGGGTGGATAACTTTTTCATACGACCCACAGAGACTCTTTCTACACTCAGTTTTTAGCTGGATATTTGGCTGTGGGCAAAGTTTGCTCCTTAAATGCTAAAAGATCTCCAGGCGATTCAAGTATGGGACTGAGTTTCATAACCAAAAGAGAACTCATCACGGGAGCTGCTTTCTTCTTGAGACACATGCATTGCTCCCACTGATGCTTGTGAAGGCTATACTAGGCTTGCAGATGGAGGGGGTGACACATGTGACTGACTGGCTAACACATGTATGTAGCAGCAAAGAATGAAGCATATAAAGTGAAAGGAATGGGAGCGCCTAATGGCGCACACAGTTGGTCCTACTCTCTCCAGTTGTGCCTCTTCTTACTGAGGACACAATGTCTGTAGTTAAAACACTGCAATAGGCTCATGGAGTGAAAAAGTGATGGCAGAGCACTTCAGACAAGCCCTTTTTATCCAAAATAAAGCTTGGGGGCTTTTCAGTGCAAATGATCTGCTTCCATTTGGGGTCATGGTGCTCTTGGGGGAGAGGGGTTTGGTGGCAAAGCGAACTTCTGGTTTGTCAGGGACTGTATTTGAGGGTCAGCAGCATCAGGCTCTTAGTTCATTTAGCAGAACAGAATTTCAGTGGCCACATTAGCACCCCGCGGCTCTCACTGTTGCACTAATCCTCTTAACATTTCCAGTCTCTGCTGAAAAAAGTAGCCCTGGTTAGCGTGCTATGAATATTTGGTCTGAAACATTTGTTATTAAATATTGTTCTCCAAAATATACACTGAGATACACACTGATCTCAGCTTCTTACTCAAAGCAAACTACTCATAACTAATTCTGAGTTTAATAGTTAAATGCACATAAAATTAAAACCTCATTATCTTAAGGATTAGACCGGGAAGGCTGCCTTAGAGTGTAGTATCCTAACAGGAGGCTGGGCGCCTTCCTTCAGAGGAAAACGGTATAAAGATGAAGAGCATAAACAGCATCTCAGGAGATTCAAATTACCTGCTTCCTTCTTTTTGGAGGCAAGAATTTTCAGTTTTTCTCCCACAACAATGCTGCTAGGAGCCGATCCGTGGAACAGTCTTGTGCTATGGTGGTGGTCTGACTCTGTTATGTGATAAGGTTCATAGGGGGACAAGTAAATTGCATTATAATGCCCTGAATATTTTTAATAGAAAAAATAAATTACAGTGGCTGAAATGCATTCAGCATTTCATATAGTGTACACAGCCTGGATTTTATTTCCACTGTCTGACAAAATCTAGATATCAAATCTAAACAGTATGAAGTACTAAATGCATTTCAGCCAATGTAATTCCACTTTCCTGCTATGATATAGAAATACTCCGCAGTGTGAAATGGGACTTTGGTACTTTCTGTTGTGCATAGTTAGATTAAAACAGAAGTTTCCACTTTATTTTAATTGGTAAGGTACAGCAATTTATATTCTCTGCTCTTGTTTAGAATAACTAAATGAATTGAAGTAGTGGTACTGGGTCTAACATAAACCAAGAGGCTAGAAAATTCACCCCTTTTGGCACGTTATTCAAATGGAAAATTCAATTGAACATTGCAAAGTGCTTGGAGGATGAAAAGCATTTAAGTGCAATGTTATGAGAGACAAATTTTAACAGGCATTTTCAAAATGAACCCCTCTGGGACATGAGTTGTGACTACCTTAATGTCAGCCTTAGCCAGGAAGTCGTGGACTGGACTGTGCAGACAAATGTCCCCTTTTATCTGTAGTGGGGGGATGTCTCCAAGTTGAAGATGAGCACACACTGAAAGATGGTGTGAGTGAAGCTTGAGCTGCTGCCACCTCTGTTATATCTGTTCTAGGGATAGACGCTGCAAATCTGTCGCCTTTCACTAGCCTGAAATGCCCTTTAGTCCACTTCTGTAAAATCCTTTGCTGGGTACGTCTGTGACCGTGAAAAGCTCCCCCATCTGAGTCAGAATTTACCTTGGCGTTCAGTGCAATTACAACTCTGAGCAAATCCTGCCTCTTTCACTTGATTCCTGAGGGCAAAGGTAGGTATGATTATGAAGTGAACTACAGTCACCAAGTTCATTTCACCCAGTCAGTGAGTGGAGTGCAGAAGGGTTTGAAACGGAACTGTCTAGATTGTGAATGTTCTTGTTATGTATTGGTCCATCTACTGTCTTATTTATATCCCTCTATGAGATAGATGCCAGTTCCTGTTTTGAACATTGAGCTGTCTGGAATGTCACCCATTGTGGAATTCCTGCCTCACCCGAATGAATTCCGATAGCTACAGGAGTTGAATGCCCAAAATAGTATCTTGCAATTCTCCCTTAAGGGGGCAGTAAGAGTCTATACTTAGAGTTGCATTGACAGAGCTGATGGCTCTGTGTGTGTGTTGGGTGTACAATTGCAATGTGGTGTTTCAAAGATGTGTAAGGATCACTCATTTGTTTCACTTTATTGGTCCTTGTAAACCATTTTAAGGCTGCATTTTAAAAGCCATTACATTAAAAAACATCCCAATGATGACTTTTCAGTGGTCTCCTGATCCTTTCAGTAAAGTCTGGGAAGGGGCTGAGATGAGCGTGGATGTGGCATGCTTTGTTGGGGTGACAAGGTGATAGGAGTGCTGTGGAAGGAATGTGTTCGGTCATGCGCGTGTGTGGTGGGAAGGAATTTCAACAGTGGTAATTGAGAAACAGCCGTGATTAGTTATCTTAAAGGAAGCGTGTGTAATTCTTCTTGCCCAGAAGGATGGTAGCTTGGAGAAGCTTTTGTGTGTGGATCCCAGACTCCTTGCTGGGTCGCATTAGGGCATGGCACAAACTCTGTTTTTGCTCATTCAAGAACTGGCATTCTGGCAAGGTCATCCTCTCCAGTATGCATTCCGTGTGCCAGTGCTGGGTGAACATACTCTGCAAAACAGTCACTAACTTTACAAGTGGCTCCTTTGTACTAGAAATTTACACTAGGAAAACGCCTTGGCCATACTGCAAGGAGAGAATCTAGCCCTCCCCCCGCTGCCTCTTTCTGTTCGGTCTCTAAAGAAATGACAGGCTTGGTGGCTGTAGACACACCATGACTCTTTGCTGTACTAAACAGCTTAATCTTTAAGTCCTGGTTCCACCTTTTTTATGCTTATCTAACCACAGTGCTTTGTTCCCTTTTCTGCCTACAACCTGCTCCTACACTTATGGCCCAAATAGAATGTGCTGAACTATAAATGAAGGTAACTACCGAGCAATGATGCAGAAAACTTTCTCCCATGCTAAATAACACTGTGAGCAATGGTGAAATAAGGCTGAGGTGGGTGAATTAGGACCTGTGGCTACGGGCATCCAAAGGCAGCAGAAGGCAGGTTGTGATGCACTTTCTAGCTCAAAGATACTAATCTTAAAGCTGCAGGAATGGTGATGTAGCTGACTGAGTAATTTACAGTGGATAATGTTCCTACTAGAGGTACTAGGCTTAAAACTGATGGAAGATGCTGCCGTTTGTGATGGTGTGGCCTGTATTTCTTTTCCCAATGAGGTCCTATAAAGGTGAGAGATTTGCAAGGGATTAAACCAAAGCAGAGTTAGTGGTTAGTAGAGGAAAAATGCTGTCAGTTTAAACAGGAATAGATACCCAGTGACTGAGGGACCCAAATTCTGCTTTTGAGCAGTTTGTCTAATTCACTAAGTATATATCACTCTGTTTAAAACAACTTAAAACCCATCTCAGCATGGAAACCTTTTACTCTCAGCTGAGTCTTCAGCCTGTAGGAAATCTCGTCTGCAATACTTCATTGGGTAGGATTTGTGCCAAGGGTTCTTTGCTGGAAAAGTTTAGTGCCAAACTGTAAGGTGGCCCTGAGAACTATGGCACATACCTGCCAGCAGGTGTCTCCAGCCATCAAATGTAGCAGCACCGAGGCAGTTTCAGAATGCATTCTATTGGCTGTGTAGCCATGTTGAAAAAGTATACAGTCACACTGGTGACACAAGCTGTAAGTTTTTGGTGGGAAGAATGGACTCTGGTTGAGGGTGCAGAAATCTCTAATTCACCATAACTGCAGCAGCTGCAAAGAAAAGAGCTTTAGAGACTAAAATCTCAACTTAAACTTCCCTTGTGCTTCTTTCTGTCATTGCTGCCTAGGAACTTGTGTGACAGCAGCGGGCTCTCTGCAGTGCGGACCCTGTGTACAGCTTTGCCTATGAGCCTCAATCTTCACCTTCTCCCCCATGCTGTTAGTCCTGACCTGAGCTCTGCCAAGGCATAGGAGGAGATACTTTAAAGCTGTTCGTTAGTAGTAGGTAGCAACCCTGATGCACTATCACTATCCACGCACAGTCACCGCACTAAAGAGCGAATGGAAAGTATATCTCTAACCTTTAAAACTCTCTTAAATCATTATTAAAATTGTATTATGCCTAATGTGGTTATAAATGTCTGAATACTGGGTCTTCAATATAGCCAGCATAGTTTAAATACTACAACAGTAGCTAATTTCATAATACAAATAGTTAAATATTTGTAAAATATTTTAGCATAGCATCTTGTGCCCCACCCAATTCAATTCTCATGCCTCTCAGTGCAGCACCCCCAGCTCTTCCACTCCCCAAAGCACCTCTGCCCTTGCTTTTTGCTCTCCAGCTATTCCACTTGTGAGCCAAATTTTGATGCCATGATGCCACTTGGGGCTATACTAAAAATCTTTTACCCTTTAGAGCTGGGACTCGAACGTGCCTCCCAAGAGTCAGACTTCCTTTTCCAGCTCGCTCCCTGCAAAAAACCAACAGACCCCCCCACACACATTTGAAAAGAATAATATCCGGATTTGATCTCCATTACAGCACTTTGTTTTAAGATTACAAAGCCCAGTGTGCAAGCTTGCATGGCCTGTTTCTATTGTAGTCATAACACTTGTTACAACACCGGGGCTCTCCTTTGCTTTCACATGGCGATGGGATTGAGTCCAAGTCAAACATTACCAAATGCCAATTTTCAAGTCTGTTTCCCCCGTAGATTAGAAAAACTGAGAGTGAGCCCCTTAGCCTTTCAAAGGGAGGCCGTGTCAGCCTCCTGCTGAATTCACTCGGGAGGTGGGGAAGTAGCAGAAAGCTGCTAGAACCAGGAAAAGGGAAATGTGCCCCTGGTTAGTTTGCTGAGGTGTTGAAAGGGGAACAAAGCAATTTCTCACCTCCTGCCAGAGCTGGGCATAGAGAAGGGTTTTCAGAGCTGGATCTGTTTTAGCCAGACCCTTTGGGGGGGAAGTGGTGAAGGTGTTGGATAAATGCCCTCGGCTCTGCTTATTTTGCCATGAAGCTCACCTCGGTCCCATAGCAAGATTAATTTGGTTACTCAACGGCTGCAGGAAAAAACCTACCTGGGCCCCAATTTTGTGGACACGGCTTATTTGCTGAGAGTGGATTTTGAAGCAGGCTCAAACTCGGCCTTACCTATGGACCAAATGCTGCAACTCCATCATATAGGGATGTTGAGAGTTCTGATGGGCCACAGCTGAACTGGGCAACGTGTGAGGTGAAACTGGCTCTCAGAGGATTTACAGGTGTAAAGTGTGGGTTCATATACAATTAGAGCAGAAATTGCCAATGATTTATCCTCGAGTGGAACCAGCCTGTCATGAGCTTGAATTATTGAGTGCTTGTCTACATGGGGAGATGGATCAGACTAGCTATTCTAGAGTAGCTCACTTCGTGGGCACTCTATTCTGGAATAAAAGTCCCTGTATTCTGGAGTAATTCGTGTTCTCACAAAGCCCACTCATTATTTCAGAGTGTCCACATGGGCAGCTATTCTGGAATAGCTATTTTGGTCCATTTCCCCATGTAGCTAAGCCTGGACACTCTCTGTATAGCTCAGCAGAATGCCAGTTCTGAATAGTTTCTGTTCCTAGTAGAGTGACCAGATAGCAAGTGTGAAAAATCGGGATGGGGTGGGGGGTAATAGGAGCCTATATAAGAAAAAGACCCAAAAATCGGGACTGTCCCTATAAAATTGGGACATCTGGTGACCCTAGTAATAAGCAAATTGCAATCCCTGTCCCAGGGAGGCCATTGCTTACTTTTTTCTGGGGGGTAAATTCTTCCCTAGATGTGAATTCTGCTGGCTGTTATATCCCCACTGGTTGTTTATATTTAAGTATAAAACTCAATGTGTCCCTAACGATGAAGCTGGGCCCAATGTGGACAGTATTGCCTGGGAGCCGAGCTCTGTTGTGCCAGGCACTTCAGACAAGTACCAGACAGTCCCTGTCCCAAAGCGCGAGCTCAGGCAGGACAGAACTGACAAATGTGGACAGGATCCACTGAGAGAATGAGAGAGCAAAATGAATAAAGTTGTGCAAGGATCACAGCTCACCACTTGTCTGAGCAATTCCAGCAGGACGCAATTTGTAGGCATCACAGCAGGGGTAGGATTTGTTGCTGATGCTGTGCAACTGCTGCAGGAGAGAGTCTGAGCTCTCTTTCTTCTTTTTTTTTTTAAGTGCTAAGACAGCTTCATCTTTGCTTTGTGGCCATTTCACCCAAACAGTGTGAAATGCACCTGTCGAGAGCTCGTCCTCTCTGTTGTACCCAGTCGTAGATCTGAGTGTGCTTTTGCTGCTCAGAACTCTTGTTGAATACCTCGACCAGCAGAGGGCATTGACAGCACGTCGGTGCAGCTGCTGTAGCTAGCGCAACTAGCATCTCTGAATTTTAGCTTAATTCTGTTGCACGGTTGCAGATCTTGGTAGTTATGTAGTTTGTTTAAAACGGGCTCCCCACTTGGCTCTTTAAAGAGTCAGCCTGATGCTGGGATTGTAACACCACGAAAGTCTGCAATCCCCACGGAGCAAAGTCTCTGCCGGCTCACGATTGTGTCTTGGGCTGCTCAGCAGTGTCTGCTGATGTCGGTTGGCAGATAGTAAACGGGTCCCAGGTCAGACTGGGTATTTTATACCGAACGTAAAGCCTGAAGTGCACTAGCTGGCATGCTGGCAGCTGCACCTCTGGAGCAGCGGTGTCTGAGTGTCTAAGGCGAAGCCCCGGGAAATAGGAGCTGGAGCGCAAGGGGCTTTCTAGGGAGCCTGAGGTCTGAGAAGAGGTTCAAGAGCGCTAACAAATAGCCAAAGCCCAGGGCAAGAAATGGAGACTCTGTACCAAAGGTAGGGCTAAACCGCAAAGGCCATCAGTCAACCCTGGCGGGTAAATGCTGTTAGAGCAGTGTATAGCGGCGTCCAGGTACAGCCCTAGTAAGAGGCAGTCTCTGCCCTGCGGAGCTTAGTCTAATTAGACAAGACAGCGTGCGGAGCAACAATCCCAGAGACTTGCTGACGGTCACACCGCAGAGCTGGGACTGGCACTAACATCGCCCAGCCCAGGGCCCTGTCCACTGGGCCAGCTGCTTGTCGGTACTTGGTATAACGGCAATTGGCTTGTTACCTGAAAGCTGCAGGGCACTGAGCAGAATCCCACTGATGCATGCAAGCACGCGGCCCGCTTGGAGTCTGTTATTAAAAACCAGCCCAAACGTTTGAGATTTAA